TTTTTATGAAAATAAAACTTTGCGTTGAAGAAAAGTAGATTTTTGTTTGTATATGCTGTCAATTATAGTTATTAGAAAGAAAATCGGAATCGGCAAAAATCGGTATCGGCAGATCACACTAACGAAAAATCGGAATTTGCTGATTTGGTGCTGAAGAAACATTTCTTGTTATCAATGTTGAAAACAGCTTAACATTTTTGTTGAAACGGTGATAATTTCTTTTTCTTCAATAAACAAAGTTCGAAAATATTTATTAGAACTAGAAATCTTTGTAACATTATAGATGTCCTTACTGTCACTTTTGGACCATAATTTTAGTTTGCACTGTCAAATATTAATTTCCATGTTATTTCATGAAAGGTCTTGCGATGTTTCATACTTCACAAAAAAGTTTTAAAGTTCAAAAAAGAAAAATAATTTCCCCCTGATTAATTAGGTATGTATTTTGTGACAGGTTATGAAATCCATGGTTTAGAAAAGATTCCAGATGAAGGACCTGCTCTTATAGTCTACTATCATGGAGCTATTCCTGTAGACTACTATTATTTCTTGGCAAGTGTTATCATTCAAAAGGGAAGAACTTGTCATTCGGTGGCTGATCATTTTCTGTTCAAGGTCCCAGGTAAAAACTAATTTCATAGCCTCATTTTGCCCATGAAAGAGTCATTACTCAGTACCTAATTTCATTGTGATTAACTGAATTTTGGGACAAAACGTGTCCTACAACTTTATCTGCCATTAGTTTTTAAAATAGCAACAATTTCACTTTATTCAAATGATTTATTGCATTATGTTGCATAACACAAATGCTTTATTTATAACCTTAAACATAAATATGTATCTTTTCAAGAAGCACTGACTAACTTCTGTCAAGGCATTGTAGTAAAGTTATTCTACATTCTGAAATTCCTTTCGATATTTTACCTTCAGTAAATTCAACAAGGTCACACACACACTCTGATTGATATTTATATATTTTTAAATTTACTTTAATTAAAGGGTTAGTTACCCCCAAAAATGAAAATTAGGCTGCGTTTTACTCACCCCCAAGGCATCCTAGGTGTCTATGACTTTATTCTTTCAGACGAATCCAGTCGGAGTTATATAAAAAATTGTCTTTGATTTTTCAAGCTGTTTCATGGCACTCAGAGGGTGTTGCATTGCTTCAGTCCATAAGAAGTTAAATAAAAATCGCCCATCCATTAAAAAAAAGTGTCTCACACGGCTCCGGGGGGTGAACAAAGACCTTCTGTAGCGAATCGATGCTTTTTTGTAAGAAAAATATCCATATTCAAAACATAATAATCACTTTAATGTAGCTTGCGCCAACAGTTGTACACGGAAGCAGCTCCGGGAGGATGACGTCTGAGGTCAGCATTGCGCATGTGCCAGTGAGTCTCGTGAAAACCAACGTTTGTTAACAGGAGTAAAGGAAGCAAAGTTTCCTTACTTTAGCAAAGGAAGCGGAGCCGTGTGAGACATTTTTTTTTTTATGGATGGGTGCTTTTAATTTAACTTCTTTTGGACTGAAGCAATGCAACACCCGCTGAGTGCCATGAAACAGCTTGAAAGATCAAAGACCATTTTTTTTATATAACTCTGACTGGATTCGTCTGAAAGAAGAAAGTCATATACACCTAGGATGCCTCGGGGGTGAGTAAAACGCAGCCTAATTTAAATTATTGGGTGAACTAACCCTTTAATTGTGCTCATATTGTCTGTATAATGACCATGACAGGGTTTAAGCTTCTCTTGGAGGTGTTCAGTGTGATCCACGGGCCGCAGGAGGAGTGTGTGAAGGCCCTGCGGAACGGCCACCTCCTGGGCATCTCTCCTGGAGGAGTTCGGGAGGCCCTGTTCAGCGACGAGACATACCCTCTGCTCTGGGGCAAACGCAAAGGATTTGCACAAGTGGCCATTGACTCTAAAGTGGTAAGTGACTGTCCCTCTTCTTCTGCTCCTTTCATACAAACCGGTTTTATTGTACTAAGAGTCTGTTTTGTCCCTATAGCCAGTTATACCCATGTTTACTCAAAATCTGAGGGAGGGATTTCGCTCTCTTGGAACATTAAGTGAGTCATGGACAAAAAACTGAACTTTCACACAGTTGTAAATAGCAATCTGAATAGATTATGAAAGAGCTCAATGATTCAATCTTTAATTCATCTCGAAATTCATTCAGGATTTTACCGCTGGGTATATGAGAGATTTCGCCTACCGATAGCACCCATTTATGGAGGATTTCCAGTCAAGTTTCGCACCTACTTGGGTGACCCCATTCCATACGACCCCAAACTCAATGCAGCTGAGTTAGCTGAAAAGGTAGGACTCCATAAGTTTTGTTTTTATAACTCTGTAGTCCTGTAAAGGGCTGACTCTTTGTTCATTTGCTGAGCTGGTGTTTTGCAAATGAAAAAAAAAAAAATACAAGAGGGTTTAACCTCTACAACGTCCCGACAAGTCCTGACCTACTGTTGACTACACAACATACTCTAGCACCATTTGTTTACACCGTCCCCTAAGGGAACGTTCCACCCAAGAGTGGTGATCGCCATTCATCATATATGCAGGTGTACACAGTGAGAGAATGCTTGTATAATAAAGGACACCCCAAATTGGTATCTATGAATGAATCATTTCTGGTGTACAAGGTTTTTTAGTAAAATTTATTTCATAAGAACAGTAGCCACATCTCATCCCATTCTACCACCAGAGAATAATAACCTTCTTTAAAACTTTTTGTTTTGTTTTCAGAATGGATGTGGGAGACCTGATGTAGGTCTTTAAACTTTTATATTCAACATTTCTACCTTTTTCTTGTGAGAAGCTGCATTTTCAGCAGCCATTACTTCAGAAATCATACTAATATGCTGATCTGATGCTCAAGTGACATTTATTATTTCCAACGTTTAAAACTATATATGTGACCCTGGAGCACAAAACCAGTCTTAAGTCGCTGGGGCATATTTGTAGCAATAGCCAAAATACTAAGAGTCTGTTTTGTCCCTATAGCCAGTTATACCCATGTTTACTCAAAATCTGAGGGAGGGATTTCGCTCTCTTGGAACATTAAGTGAGTCATGGACAAAAAACTGAACTTTCACACAGTTGTAAATAGCAATCTGAATAGATTATGAAAGAGCTCAATGATTCAATCTTTAATTCATCTCGAAATTCATTCAGGATTTTACCGCTGGGTATATGAGAGATTTCGCCTACCGATAGCACCCATTTATGGAGGATTTCCAGTCAAGTTTCGCACCTACTTGGGTGACCCCATTCCATACGACCCCAAACTCAATGCAGCTGAGTTAGCTGAAAAGGTAGGACTCCATAAGTTTTGTTTTTATAACTCTGTAGTCCTGTAAAGGGCTGACTCTTTGTTCATTTGCTGAGCTGGTGTTTTGCAAATGAAAAAAAAAAAAATACAAGAGGGTTTAACCTCTACAACGTCCCGACAAGTCCTGACCTACTGTTGACTACACAACATACTCTAGCACCATTTGTTTACACCGTCCCCTAAGGGAACGTTCCACCCAAGAGTGGTGATCGCCATTCATCATATATGCAGGTGTACACAGTGAGAGAATGCTTGTATAATAAAGGACACCCCAAATTGGTATCTATGAATGAATCATTTCTGGTGTACAAGGTTTTTTAGTAAAATTTATTTCATAAGAACAGTAGCCACATCTCATCCCATTCTACCACCAGAGAATAATAACCTTCTTTAAAACTTTTTGTTTTGTTTTCAGAATGGATGTGGGAGACCTGATGTAGGTCTTTAAACTTTTATATTCAACATTTCTACCTTTTTCTTGTGAGAAGCTGCATTTTCAGCAGCCATTACTTCAGAAATCATACTAATATGCTGATCTGATGCTCAAGTGACATTTATTATTTCCAACGTTTAAAACTATATATGTGACCCTGGAGCACAAAACCAGTCTTAAGTCGCTGGGGTATATTTGTAGCAATAGCCAAAAATACATTGTATGGGTCAAAATTATAGATTTTTCTTTTATGCCAAAAATCATTAGGATATTAAGTAAAGATCATGCTCCATGAAGATATTTTGTAAATTTCCTACCGTAAATATATCAACTTAATTTTTTGATTAGTAATATGCATTGCTAAGAACTTCATTTGGACAACTTTAAAGGCGATTTTCTCAATATTTAGATTTTTTGCACCCTCAGATTTCAGATTTTCAAATAGTTGTATATCGGCCAAATATTGTCCTATACAAACCATACATCAATGGAAAGCTTATTTATTCAGCTTTCAGATGATGTATAAATCTCAATATCAAAAAATTTACACTTAAGACTGGTTTTGTGATCCATGGTCACATATATTATTAATTCAAGCTAGATTTAAAGCCATTGCTAAAAATCACAAACTCCTGGACATTTTTATTATTATTTTTAATAAACGTGGGCTCTGTCTTACATGTGCCTAATGAATTGAATTATGGCCCATGTGCAGAACAGTGTCAGCAAATTTATTTATTTATTTAGTCATTTAGCAGACGCTTTTATCCAAAGCGACTTACAAATGAGGACAATAAAAGCAGTCAAAACTAACAAAAGAGCAACAATATATAAGTGCAAATGACAAGTCTCGGTTAGCCTAACGCAGTACACGTAATAAGGTTTATACAAATACACCTAGCGCACTTTAAGTAGACAGTGAAGATGTCATATGTTCAATTCATGCCTCTGTTGAGTCAGGATTTGTCATATTTAGTGTATTTTCTTCAATCGAACCCATCTGTTCAGGTGCAAGAGGCAGTTCAAGCACTTATCGACAAACACCAGAAGATACCTGGAAACATCCTCCGAGCTCTTCTAGAGCGATTCCAAAGGGAACGCAAAGAAGATTAGCACACTTGCCTTTTCTCAGACTGAACGAATAAATATGCTTCAAGCATAATTCAACTGAATACTAGAGATTTTATAATATTGTTACATCATAAGATTAGCAACTACGTTACTGACACTCCTAATGGAAGTATCAGCATATACTGCAGTGTTGCATATCAAATAATGGTGCGTGTCTTTGTAACGTCTGGTTACGTGTAGTTTTGTGCATTTTAAAGAGTGTGTGTTTGTTTTTTTAATTTACAACTTATTTGCACACTTTGATTTTATTCAAAGGACCACTGCCAAAATAGTTTCCACAAAGCCTTTGGTTAGTTTTTCTTTCTTTCCTTTTAAAAATATAACATTCTGTCCTGGAAATCGAAAATATTTATCTACCTGAAGGAAAATTGTGCATACTGTGATTTTTGGGATTTTGTAAGCACACTTAATAATAATGATGAGAGATATATGCTTGAACATTTGTTGTTTGATGTTGAATATTTACAGTTTTAGTCTAACATCTCTGTATTAATTTTCAGAGGTCAACTGCTGTCTATTTAAGCATCAGTTGATATTGGTTTGTCCCGCTCTCAGAGCTTATCATAATATTCTGATTATTAAAAAAAAAGTATGCAATTACTAATGATGTTATTCAGGCAACGAAGCATACACGTTTTTCAGAATTCATTAAGATTTTGTAACATTCCTGAAATTTATTGATTTACTACTTCATTACATAAAGGCTGTTGAATCTAATAAGTTGTGAAATTTGATCGGTGTGGAAATAATGGCTGTTAATGTATGATTTTATAAAATATTTTGTTATTCACAATAAAACTGAATATTCCTATGGATTCAGTGTTGGTAAAACAGTTTTAATGCACTCTTGTGCTTAGTAAACCACTCTCCCATGATCCTCTGGGAGACAATGTCTTGTGTGTGACAAAGATCAAATGTGAGCATGAGCGCAGTCTTTGTCACCCTGTCCTGTGATCTCTGTGCACATTCGGTGCGTTTGGTGTATGATATACAAATGCACCAGTGTTGCTATTTATAAATCTGTTTGGTATTAACTCACAGCATCTGTGCATCCATTGTAAATCCCCCAAAAAATCACTTGGGAAAAAATAAAAATTATTTTTTTGGAAGAAAATCATTATTATTCATGATCTCTCGTTGCATTATACATGTGCTCCTAATTTTCTTTCAGCCTCTCCAGGAGTTTCTTCTAATTAAGGTGTAAAACCTTAAATCATACGAGGTGTGAGAATACATATTTAGACAAACTAATCACGAAGCCTTGCATTTGTGACAGACTGGTTCTGAGAAAGCAGCATTGCTCATCACCAGTGCTTTTTTTTTCCAACCTTGAAATAGTTAGACATTCTAAAAATTCAAATGCACCTTATTCACACATCAACGGCGAATCCGAAAGAAGATTGCAAGTAAGTCTAATAAAATGACCACAGTGTACTTTATTAAATGAATTTGGTACTTTGTGTTGCATTAGAATCAAATAAAAATTTACAAAAATCCAATATGTACAAAAATGTAACTTTCTTTTTGTTTTTACTCTTCAATTTACAATGAAATCAGATAACAGATTTTATGCATTTTACGCACTTCAGACTTTCATCACATGATACAACTGACTTAAGAGACCAATAATAAAGTTTTTTTTGTTTTTTGCTTTTTTTTAATGTCATTTAATACATCACATACACCACACTAGTTTTTGTCTGTATTATGTCATATGTAACTGCCGATCTCTAGTCAATAGACACCCTTCACGACCAGGACTCAGAAAGGAATGTTCTTTTACACATGTACATTTGCATACATTTATTTACAGTTAAATAGCCTTTTGCAAGTCACTATGGAACTTCCGTTTGAACTGAAATACCAGTAAAGTCTGTACATCATTCCTGAACGCTGAACTGAACACCACCGAGTTCATTCAATTACTGTGCTTGTACTAATATCGTGCTTTATAAATAACCACCGATTATCTTTTATCTAAATGTAAATTTCTTTTCCCCCCATCTATGGCATTCTAGTTTATCTAAGTATCTATGTCTACGTGTGAGGGAGTATCGTCAATTTGTTTATTCAACAACAAAAGAAAGCTTCTCCGATGAATAATAATAATAAAAAAAAGTGCCACTGTTCATTTCCGCTCTCCGAGTCACTCGTGTTTGCTAACTGATTCAAAATGCTCACAATCTCGTAACAGCACGGCCCGTGGCCCATGACTGTCTGGGTCATCATTTTGATTGTTTGTCCGCAAATTTCATTTCAGTCTGCTTTCTTTGTGTCCGCTTGCAGTATAAGCACAGTAAGTACGCTACTCAATAATGCAACGTCGTCATACTAGCATGACAGCAACCGGAGCATCATGTGCATGACTAAAACTAAACCAAAAGAAACAAACAGAAAATGCCACTTACGAATAATGAATCCGCAAAAAATGCGAGTGTCATTTAAGGCAAATAAAACAGAATCAGCTTGCATGAATTTAATGTTCTCTTGCTGTGAATTGTTGTAAAATAAGTCCTGCTTTTGAACTCCGGTTGTAAACAGAGCAGCCTCCAACTCCTCCGCTCATCCACGGGGACGCCATCTCGATAAATTCCTTCATATCAGCCACACCAACGACTAGAGCTGGAGACTGGTCTGTTTAAAATACCGTTTTGAGGGAGGTTACAGGTATGAATTAAGTTTTTCCAGAGCGAAGAAATGGTTGACTATATCTCTAGGTTTATTGATAAAACCCAGATAGAAAAATGGAACTAGAAGTGCAAAACAAAGTTACATAGTTTAGCTGTAACGTTATCATTAGCTTAAATGTTTTCACTGTTGGTCTTCCGTCACCACCATGTTAAGACGTAGGACTACGTACGCAATTCTGTCCTCGTAATTTTTAATCAAAATGTCATACTTTAACTGATCAGACTTATTTTCTTGTGACCTATGCAGGACCCCCCCCCAATCATTTTGACTTTATTACATTAATAATCTGGCATGTGTGGGGAATATGCCATCAAAACAGGCTATTCAGCATCTCCAAACATCAGCACAGCCTTTTGTGTAAAGACCTTGATTCATTCTGCATGTGCTGAACGCATCGCATTGCATTGAGTGTTTTAAATTCATGTCATATTTCAACATTAAAAAATTGAGGCCTTGCAATAGATAAATGGCTGAATAAAGAATGTCACCAAAACTCACTGACAGCCAGTGTTGTAGGATGTTCCTCTTAATCAAATGAACCAAATCGCAGCGTGCTTGGGGTATCGCTGAAACAAAAATACCATGGTATTTATGGGAAAGCTAAAAAAATGTAGGATGCTTTTGAAAATGATGGATATGTAATATCGCAGAGGTGTGCGATACATCGCTCGTCTTCCTTCAAAAATGGTCTTGCGTAGGTGGTGCAGCAATTTAAATCTGAAAATTGCCTAATTAGTGTGCTAACACTAGTTTGTAGTGCTCTGACTACAGGGGACTCTTTTAGAGGGAAAATTTTGCCAAGAGACAAAGTATCATCATCATCCATCACACAGAGAAATGAAAGTATAAGACACGCTGGGGAAAAAATGCTGACGAGATAGGAAAGTAGCAAAATAGATAAAATATACAGGTTTACGTTTCACTGTGGTACTGGTTATAGATTCATATGATCTCATCTAAATCTTTTTTTTTTTGTGTGTTCTTTTTTCTTTTTCTTTTTTTTATTTGCAACACAATTAGGATCTTCATCTGCAAGTGTGCAGATCGCTGCAGGCTAAAACAACTATGTTTTCAGTTAATTTGCCACCGATTGTAGGATGTTACAACACCTCAGGAGTGTTTCAAAACTACAATAAAACCCAAATTACAGTTCAGATATGACCAATTGAAGCTAAACGAATCTAACTGTCCTATATGAGTCATCTCCACACAGTTAAATGGCATTAAGCAAAATAATGTGCACCTTAAGATCAACCATTTTGTAAGACACGTTTAAAATTCCATCAAAAACCAAAAAAAAAAAAGGAAAGCAAAGAAAAGAAAATGGAGCATAAAAAAATGTTACACGTAAAACATTTTTCCCACACTTTCAAAATCGCAAACTATCCACAACAGGCACATCTAGCTTCTGTCGCAGTAAAATTTCACCTTGTCTCTCGACGCAAGTGTAACAACAACCGAAGAAATCCTTCATTGTGCTGAGACTCCTTCCTGTGACAAGTTTTGTGCTTGTTTTCTATTTATTTTTTATTTTTCTGCCCTCACTTCCATGTCTCCATAAATGCCTTAGAATATTCGAACATAAAGACACAAAGAAGCACTTGTAACTGAACGGAAAATTTAAATCTCCAACACGTTCATATATAAAGGATGCTCTTGGCTGATTTAAAGATACAGTGCTCTTTTAGGCCGATGTGATTTGTTGAACCATAGGGCCCGGAACGTCATTCGGAGCACATTAGCAAGTCTGCACTCTGTCGCAGACTACTTATCCCTGACACTGATTTGTAGACTGTGAGTTGGCAATTGAAGTGTCTCATGGAGAGAGTCTTGACTGCACTGCAGAGTTTGGAATAGTACACTTCGCCGGCTTTCCGGATGTGTTAAGATGCTGAAAAGTGACCCCGTTTATTGTCTATACACAGTGTTGGGGAGTAACTAGTTACATGTAACGGCGTTACGTAATTTAACTACAAAATAAATGTAACTGTAATCAGTTACAGTTACTAAGAAAAAACGTGTAATTAAATTACAGTTACTTATGAAAATGTTAACGATTACAAAGGGGATTACATTTGGTAACCTATTACATTTCCAAAGTAACCTTCCCAACACTGTCTATACGTGGCCTTTAGCTCATTTTACTGTACCAATACAGCACACAAAACACAGACACACCAAACCCTGACCCAGCCCAGAAGAACACTGTATCTTTAACCTAGAAGATGAAGCGCATCCAGGTTCTGTCGGGTACAGTTTGGCGGACATTGTGTGAACTGTGATGGTCTTTGCCCCCCACTCTGCTGTGAACCAAACGGATCCTTGTCAGCCCACAGGGGTGAGGTGAATGAGGCCGGATCGCCAAAGGGAGCTGCCAGGAAGTGTTTTCTTGGCCTACTGTCTTCTCCTGAAGAAGAAAATGAGTGTGTGTTCTCCCTGTTTTGTCATCCCAAGTGTCTTGGACTCCTGTGATGATCGCATACTTCTTTTCTCATCTTTTTTCTTTGTACAGGATTCAAGTAGATGGTTGAAATGCTGCCCTGTTTATATATACAGTTTGTGGTCGAGCCACAGTTCAGCGTGGAGTCATTGTGAGCGGAGCATTTGGCACTGGTACAGAACTGCTGATGAAACACTACTAATAGGTTACAGCACCCTAAACAAGGACGTCTCGAGGCTAATCAGCCATTTTTTTTTATTCGTGTTCCATCGATGTGATATTCGGACCACTGTTTCTCCAGTGCGGTGGGTAGTCTGTTTGTTCAAATGCCGTTTGTGTGCACTGGATGCTTGGTTTCAAAGGGAAAGGCCTTTGTTTTGCATTTGCTGCAAGAGACAAGCTATAAAGTGTTCTGGATGTCCTCTTGCAGTTTGGAGACGTTGGCTCGAGGACGATCAACTCTGGGAATGAAGGTCTGTACAACACTCAGGAGGGCCGAGGGGTTTGTGGTCTATATCAGCCAGTGCAATGACTTTTAGAATCCCAGATATTCCCTGACAAGACAGAAGTAATAAAAAATAAAAAGCAACGAGAGAACGGTTTAAAAAAGTTTATTTAATTCCTCCACAAATATGTTGTGCCTATGTTTGTCCATGACAATCAACATCATGGCTAGATGCTATGTATGCAAGGAACGTTATTGCCACAGTCCTTCTGTTTATTCAAGAGGACAGTAATGTGTTCATGTTTGTGAGTTTCCACAGCACAGGCTACAAGGTGGTCTCGTACTCCAGACGCTCTTGAATCAATGTGTCGTCTTTATATTGGAGGCGTGGCGGGTTCGGAGACGAGTCGATGGCCAGGATGGCTTTACGTATACTCCTGTCCAGTACGTGCCTCTCCCAGGCAGGGTAGCGGTTCCTGCACAAGTCTATTTTGATAACTGTCTCCTCCAGGCGCGGGGCACGGGAGGAAGGAGTAGA